TAGCACCTTGATGATGTTCCCTTTTATAGCTCTAATCATGCTCTATTATGATTTTATATTTAACTAAATACAAATTCTATATCTTTTCCACTGTTGCATCCCCAGTGCTCAACAATAAATATTTGTTGATAGAGAGATTGAATGAATGAATAGCTTTGTGCTGTCATGTTTATAACTCGTGGATGATCTAGTTGTCTGAGAACATGCCCAAGGCATTCTCTTTTGACTAGCTTCTTGTTCTTATCCTGTAATGTAGACCGTGTGGTAGATGCTGGGTCTGGTTTGGTTGCTGCAGGTAACTCAGAGGGCACCCTTCAGTAATCTTTACTTCAAATGAGGTGAGTTGTTTATTGTGAAATAAGCTAAGCTGCCTAGCTGGCTGCTGAATGGTGCTTTTCCCCTTTACATTAGAATAGTCTGGTCTGCCTACCAGGCAAAATCTTTGGCATGAATCCTGCAAACTGAACCCAACCCCTCACTGTCACCATCGACATCACCCAAACCTCGCCGTAACTCTGAACTTCAATCTTGCCCTTGCCCTCACATTAAACCCGGACCCTTGCCTGGTCTTACTAGTAATGCCATGAGTTGTTGTCCTGGGTCATTCAATTCAACTCAGTAGTAACGAAGTGCCTGCTATCCACCAGACAGTGTTCTAGGCATTTTAGATACTACAGGGAACAAAAAAGGACCCTGTCCTCCTTGACTACATGTAGTTAACAATGAACAATGAGCATATAAAAAAGGAAATTAGATAGTATGTTAGTAGGTGAAAATGCTATGGACAAAAAGACAAGATAGAACAGGGAAGGAAGGGAGAATAGGGTGAGAGGGCAGCGGGTGAGATGCAATTTTAATGGGGTGGTAAAGATAGGCTTAATTTAGAAGGTGAATTTCTTGAGCAAAAATTTAAAGGAATAGAGGAATTAGACCCATGGAAATCTGGGGGAAGAGCATTCCAGCCTTCTGGAACAGCCAGTGCAGAGGTCCTGAGGCAGAAGGCTGCATGCTGTATTGGAATTGCAGTAAGGGGGCCTGTGTGGCTGGAGCAGTAAGGATGTCAGTCCGTGGAGCTGATGGGCGCAAGCGGGAGAAGGCAGTGAAGTCAGAGAGGTATTTGGGGACAGGATATTAGACTATTTTGGCTTAATTGGCCATTGAAGGGACTTTTGTCTTTAGTCTAAATGAAATGAGAAGGCTTTTGAGTAGAGGGGTGACCTGATCTGATTTTTATTTTTAAAGAATCACTGTCTGCTGCTGTGTTGATAACAGATGACAGTGAGTCAGTCCCAAAGATCATTGGATGTATTTCAGAGGCTTGTGATTATAAATTGTCAATCCCTGTGATTATTTTAAACACTTGGTTTAAATATGGAAATGCTTTTTGCCTTTTTGACAATTGTGTTATCAAAACGGGTTGACAATAGTAGAGGTGCCAATCTATACATAAGAAGAGGTTCTTTTATCAGTAGGTTCTTCCAAATTGTATTACACATTAAAAAAGAAAGGAGTTTGGCAGTCGGGTGCTGTCAAAGAAGTGCTTAGTGAATGAAGCTCTAGAATAGGGTGCCATCTAGCATACTGACAACCATTATTGTAGTTTTGCCTTTTTGCTTGTGCATTTAACTTACATCATTGAGAAATGGTGATTTCTCAGCGCAGCTCTTTATAGTTTGATAAAATTTAAGAGGAGCCCATCATCACAAGAAGTGTAGAAAACGAGATTTATACGAGGCCATGAAATCATCTTTTCAGCCTTTAGCCTAATAAAGTCCTACTTAATTCCTTTTAAAGGTGGGAGAACTAGATAGCTTTCCAAGTGTTCTCAAATCAAACCTTCATCAGTTTATTTGAGGTGTTATGAACACTGACAATAGTAGGCATGTCTTTACTAAAATGTAATTAAATTTGCTTTCCAGAGATAAATACTGTAGAAATTATGTGGTTGCCCATTAATGTTCTATTTGGAATTGACATGCTTAAAATGTGCTCATCTACAGTTTACTCCCATTCCCTTGTTCACTACTTTAAAAGTTGGTATCTCTTCCCATAAACATCCAGTAACTTTGTATGATGCTTGCTTTTTGGCCAGTGTTGTGAGATTTATTTTGGAAACATTTCTATATCTGATGAGTTAGAATATGACAATTGGTTGTCATGAATTGGTATTTGGGCTTCTTGGAAACAACATATAGTGATTATGTTAGTTCCTGCAAATAATTTCTTCCGTGAATAATGCTTTTCAGTTGATTTAATTGTAGCCCAGCAGTGCTTGATAGTTATCACCTTATAGACTGGTTATCTTATATGCTTGCATAATGTTTTGATAGTCTCACCTTCTGTCTGGAAATTTTAGTTGTAAAATGGATGTGGTCTCTATTGGGGAGGGGGTTTGAGGGGCATTACACAATGGTAGAGTGTTGTAATTAAAAGCATGCTCTCTCTCAGACTATGTAGTCAGTGGCCTTCTGGCTCTATGGGATTTCATAAGTCACTGGTAAACATTTAAATACAATAGTTATACTTGAAATTACTATGGTGGCATTGGTAATACTGCCAACACCTTTGTGACATATGTACAGACATATCAGAAAGTTAAGATTTTTAAGTTTTATTTCAAGACAAATTAAGATAGATTTTATGTAGAATCATCCAGAACAATGTTTCCTTTATTTGCCTTTTCTCCTTGAAATTATTTTTAAAAGTTGAGAGAATGGTCCTTACTATTCAATGTCATAAAATGTCATTATTTGGAAAGCAGTCTTTTATAAGACAGAAATTGGATTCTCTCTTCTTTATCCTGTGTTAGGGTGCAGGCTTCCGAGGCTTCCCCAGAGAACAAACTACACAGGCATAGAGATGTAAATTCAAGCAAAGTCTTTATTCAGCCAACTAGTTGGGGTCCAAGTCAGCCCGATGCAGTGGGTCTCAACAAGGACCCCGAGCACTCAGAGCCAAGGGTTTATATAGCAATTTCAAAGCACTTAACTCATAGCAATTTTCTATAACTATACATTATTCTTGCAAGACATATATCCTGGGGTTAAGCAAGGGCAGGGTAAGACTACTCCTCAATGGTTAGGGAGGTTCTGCACGATAAGCTTGGTATGTAAGATTTACTGACCAAGGTTAGCTGACCAAGGGTCACAGCTGCCCACCACCCGGTGCTCATGATTAACTTGTTTTTCAAGGCCTTACCCAGTTCCAGTTTTTCTTTCTAAGTCACATACTCAGAAAATGGCTTCTAGGCCTTTAAGATGGCTATGCTTATGCTAACCTATTTCTATTCTTACACCTGAGTCTTGCAGTTTGTCATAATTGATGTTATGAATATGGCAACCACTGTCCTAGATTTTCTGGGGGGCTTCCTGATTTTAAAATATTAACCAGTTATTCACAACATTCTCATATTTATCAGATTACTTGTCAATTTTGGGTTAAAAAGACAGTGACTGTTATTAGGATGGAATATTGTTGTTTTTGTCAGCTTTCTTCTTCATTAGTTAAAGATTAACTTCGATAGTAAATGTTGAGAATTGTTAAGGAAATTACTTGGAGATACCATTTTCCTGGTTATTGTCACATTTATAAAACTTTTTTAAAGGATCATTCTCTTGATTTAACTTCTTTGTCAACTGGACAAATGTGGAGGCAGTGTGTGCTATGATTAAGATCATGGTCTCTGAAATCAAATAGATTGGTGTTCTACCCCTGACATAACTGTCCTTTTAACCTTGAGCAAGTTACATGTCCTTGTTTTGTCTGTTCCCTCATCAATGAAATAAGAATGCTAATGGGACTTACTTTATAGAGTTGGTGGGAAGAGTACATGAGGCATGGGCATAATAAGCAGTGCTTGGCATGGAATAAGCACTAATCGCCTTTAGTTATGTTGAGCTTAGAGCATCTCTTAAATCACAATTACCTTTATGTAAACATTTCAAAAAGTCCAGTTTACTCTTAAATTACATTTAGAGTCCAACATTTCCTCAAGGCAATATAAACACAAAGGTTTTTAAAATATGAAAGGCTTAAATCTTTTCTTAAGGATACATACATCTAAGCTAAGTCCTAGTGATCTTCCTGAAATTGGGAACTGACCATGTCAGCCCAATAGGGAAATTATGAAACAAAAAAAATTCAGTTCCTCTTTGAGGAAAGATAATAATTAATAAAGCATGTGTATATAAAGAGAGGTCATACACATATATTCTCATGAACTAGGTTAATAGATTTAAAAAATGAAATCAGCATTCCTTGTAGTTCAAACTGGTACACATTATTATTCAGTCTCAGGAATGGATGATGATTCTTACATAGTAAATAAAACCTAAGCTAATTTTTAGAAATTCATGCTGTTCAGTACTAATCTGGTTTTTCTGTTCCCAAAGCTGTGTAATAGAGTAATGAGTGAGTAAGGCATTGCATCTAGAATACCTGTGGTGAACTTGTTGGACTTGAATGTATTAATCATTCCCTAATCTTACCATGTAAAGACAGGATTAATAAGTCATCCCTGAAAACAAATGAGAATCATAATTTGAAAATTTAAAGATACTTCTATTTTAGAACCTACAACTTGGAGGGTTTATAGTAAGGTGAAATGTAGTGGTGAATTTAACAATGCAATGTTTTTATGGCTATGCATTTAGTTTAGTTGTACTGTATTTCTCATGCAATAGTGACATTTTAAAGAAAACTGATAATAACACATACATCATTCTAATCTCCATCTTTGCTTTTTCCCCTTTTTCTTTAGAGAACTTAGGAAAAGATACGTCAAGTAGGAATGAGTATAAAGAATGTTAGAAAAGTTGATGGTAGGTGGTAAAGTGAAAAGAGCAGTGTTGATAGTGAGCCCCCCATGAGTAGTTAAGCTTTTAACTGTTGCTATGGTACTTAATGGGTGGCCTTTTCTTAAAATCTTTCAGAAGTCTTCTGAAGATTAAGAGCTTTCTTAGGGGTTCTGGATTATTGTGTAACTCTCCATTAATTTCTAGGTATTTGGTGACCCATCTCATGGGGGCAGATCTGAACAACATTGTGAAGTGTCAGAAGCTTACAGATGACCATGTTCAGTTTCTTATTTACCAAATTCTCCGAGGCCTCAAGGTACAGTGTTGGTAGTAATTTTGAGGAGTGAATTCTCCTTCTTGCTTTATCCCTTCCATTTAGGGCTTAAGGAAAAAATTTTTAAGAGGGCAAAAAAAATAAACTTTGGGAAAATTTCAAACACTCACAAAATTACAAGTACAGTCATAGTGTAATGAGCCCCTATGTTTACACAGTGACCACAGTTACCAACACATGGCCAATCTTGTTTCTTTTGTATTCCTCAAGCCCTGGATTATTTTAAGGCAAGTCTACACATCATATTCTACCCATAGATACTTCAGTATGTATGCCTGACAGTTAAGGACTTTTTATTACTACATCTAAACAGTAATAATAATTTCTTGATATAATCTAATTATGTGGTCAGTATCATGTTGAAACTTTGAAAACATCCTCATTGAAGCTAATTTATTTGTGGGAAGGGCAGTAAGCACTGATTTAAAATTTATTAAACCACCTTTGATATATAACAGCTTGGAGTCCTTAACTGAGCTTCAGAGCACCTACCAGAAAATAGGTTGAAAACTCAATTTCACTCTTACTCCAGCTCTCTAAGTTATGGTATGGAAATCACAACTATAATAAATGTACAGACTACTGATTATTACTTGCTCTGATTTCTAATAGCACTGTTATTATTAGCAGTTCTTACTGATTCATGAAAATATACTTCATATATGTCATATAATGTGACAGGAGGAGGTTCGAGATAAGTTTTTCATTTAACTGATTTTTTTTCTCTTTCACAGTATATACATTCAGCTGACATAATTCACAGGGTATGTTCTGTAATTTTTATTAAATTATTTGGCAAGCTGGTAGGTGATGGGGGGAAGACTGACATTTAGACAAGGTCCTAATCTAAATCTAGTTCAGCCTTTGAAAGATTGCAACTTTTTTCTGTTTGTAGTGGACTAAAGAAAAAAGATGTGTTGTTTTTACCTATTTAAGGCTAATTAGGACTAGATAGTGACTATAGAATGGAGATTGTGTTTTTATAGCTGGATGAAGTCTTAACTTTTATGTTTGGATCTTCATCGTCAACTTTAGGGAGACAATTCACCATGCGTCATAAAGTTGATCCTGTCCTCTCTGTACTTGTTCCCTAGGACCTAAAACCTAGTAATCTAGCTGTGAATGAAGACTGTGAGCTGAAGGTAAGATGAAGAGGTAGTGGTAATTGTTCGTCTCACCTTGTAATTATATATTTGACTAACCAGGCAAATTTATATAGGGAGTGGGTTTATAAGCCATGACTTTTTATCTGAAAATTCATATTGTCTTTAGGAATATCAGACTTTGAAATTTAAAGCATAGACTTAGTAAGCTTTAGTTTAAGTGACAGTGAAGGTGGCATCAGGTGTGTTGTTTTCATTCTAAAATAAAGTTAAATTAGAAATTTAATATATTGGTTATAATAAAGGAAAACTGTAATGTGAATATCAAGTAAGCAATCCTGAAGAGATAATTATTTGTAGGTTCCTAAGAGAAAAATGACAGACCCACTCATTCAAAATAATTCAAATCAGAGATAAATTAATTGTCTATAAAGAGAAAGCTCTGGAATTTTTGTTTCATTTTATTTTTTACTCCATTTTTTGGAATAATAATTTGTATACACTACAATGCACCATTTTAAGTGTACATTTGACAAACATATATTTAACCACCAACGCAATTATGGTAAAGAACATTTTCATTACTTCAGGAGGTTTCCCTTGCACCCACCCCTTCCTAGGCAGTCCCCACCCTGATAACCTGAATTCTATCTTCAGACAACCACTGATCTGCTTTCTGACACTATAGAGTGGGTTTATCTTTTCTGGAGTTTCATGTAAATGGAATCATACAGTATTTGTGTGTGTGTATGTATGTCTGTCTGACTTTTGGTTATTATAATATTTTTGATCCATATGCAGTATGTATGTCAATAGTTCATTCCTTTTTATTGCTGAATAGTATCCATTTTATGAATATACCACAATTGGTTTATCCATCCACCCATCGATAGCATTTGTTTCCGTTCCAGTTTGGAGCTATATGAAGCTGTGAATGTTCAGGTTCAAGCCTTTGTGTAAGTGTATGATTTCATTGCTCTCAAGTAAATACCTATGAGTGGCAATTTTGTTTTGCTTTTTGTAATTTCATGTTTTAAAGTTCTTGTTAATGTTTACCATGCATTGTAAGCTTGGGCCAGGAAATATGAAAGTGCTTTATTTTTCTCCCTTTTTATAAGGCACTAGAGTTTTTTCTCTCCTGTTTTACAAGTCTTAGGAATTTGACTGCTTAAGAACCTGATTTTCCTTTTTCTCCCTTAGATCTTGGATTTTGGACTGGCTCGACACACAGATGATGAAATGACAGGCTACGTGGCCACTAGGTGGTACAGGGCTCCTGAGATCATGCTGAATTGGATGCATTACAACCAGACAGGTTATTGCTTTTATTGGTTATTGAGAGCCTTATTAATACAATGTTGAATGTATTTTGGTTTCTCAGGAGTGGAAATGGTAGGAGTGGAAGGAAACATCTTTTCTTCCCTCAGTCATCCTTTTACAGTCCACAAATAAAAACTATTTCAGTTTTTCAGATGGGGAAGGTAGGGTTTTTATACATAGCTTTCAAACTTTGTGATTTAGCAATTGGGTTTTTCTTTATTTAGATTTTCATCATATTCTCTAAGTACTTCTACCTGAAGACAATGGATTCATAATCTTCTTAGTATTACTTGGAAGAATCCACCATTTCTAACAAAAAGAAACTTTTACCCCTTTGTGAACAGCTTATTTCTCTTACCTTAACTATGTTTTGACTTATCTCACCGATGAAGCCCTTTAGTGGGGCAAAGGTCTTATTTCCTTAAAACTGAATATGGCTGTTGAACCTCAGATGTCTTAAATGTTAACTTGGGTATTTCACCCCATTTAGTTTCATTTGTGGCCAGGTGTGGTAATAGTGACATTGTATGTTCTTTCATTTCTCTTTATTTTTGCCAGTTGATATTTGGTCAGTGGGATGCATAATGGCCGAGCTGTTGACTGGAAGAACATTGTTTCCTGGTACAGACCGTATCCTTTAAAAAGTTTTGGATTCTTGTTACTTACCTGTATGTCAGTGCTCAAAGAAGTGTATTTATTACTTTACATATCTCTAGGAAAGGCTCTCAGTTACTTGCTTGTATAGTCCAGATACGCATTATGAGATCTACCCTCTTGCTGAGTGTCTTGCTTTGCCTTGGACTTGATTGACTTTTGTGAGTTGGAAGAATTCCTCGTTAGCTGGAAAACCTTTTAAATCTTTCATATGTCATCTTTTTCAGCAAGTCTCTTGTTACATTAACTGCCCCACAGCAGTTCTGCCACCTGAGGGCATTCATGAGAAGCTCTAGATCTCAGTGACTGGTTTAGTCAGCTTGTACAAACATTTAGCAAGCACAAGATACCCATTTATCAATCAGGAGTAGCTTGCTTTTATGTTTGGCTTATGTATTAAAAGGCTATATTTGATCCCTGTACTGATACACCTGCTAACTCTCATTGTGTGTGTTATTTTAACAATAAATAATAAAAACAAGAAATGATAAGGTCACCTGTGGTGTGCTTTTTTTCCCCAGCACAGCTTTGTTTCTGTTGCAGATTGCAGCCAAACCTTTCACTTCCAGAGTCACTGCCTAGTTTATGGTTTACCACTTGCCCCTTTGTTTTAGCTCCTTTCCCATCTGCTGCATGCCTGTTTCATGGTTTAGTAATGTCATCATCCCAGTGTGGTTTGTTAGAACTCCCATCAGCTCTTCATGGGGAAGATGTTTTGGTGAGAAAGAATGTTGAAATCCATGTCCAGAATTAGGTGTGAGGATTTTTGTGAAATTCTCTTGACTAGCCTTCCATGGATTTTGTTGGGGCTTTTGAGATGTCTCCTGTGTTCTGTCAGGCATAGAGACCTAAAAGCTGTTTGAGCCCCGCACCTCAGCAAAGTCACTGAATTTTAAACCAGAATGTTACTTGCTTAGAGTTTGAGATATACCTCTATAGTGACTGTGATGTTCATGTTATCTGTCCACATACTCTGTCTTCTGCTAGAGAAAATGTACTTGCCTAATGAGCTGAAAAACTTCTGTCCCTCAGGAAATTCTGTTTATTTCCCTCAGGATTGATACAGAATTCAGTGTGTCTATACTTAGCTCCCCTTACTGCTCTTTATCCTCATCTTTTAAGTTAGGTTAATACCCAGTGTTTCTCTTTTGCCCTTTGCTTCATCCACCTTATATCTATTTCCTAAAAATTTGGTATATACATTATAGTCCAAGCTAAAAGGATTAGGGAAGATTTGTAATTCCCCTTTTTCTCAGGTGCATATCCCAGAGTCCCGTCCCTCAGTCTGTCCTCCCAAGCACACTGCTCTGATGCATTTCTGTTTCTCCCTTCCTTTCTACTTCTTTATATCTGTATCTCCATTTGCCTTCAGTCATAGACACTCAGAGCCGTGTAGAGAGTCAGACAGCAGAGCATACTGATTAAGAACACATGCTCTGGCACCAGACTTTCTGGGTGTAGATCCTACCTCTTTTACTTCCAGCTGTGTGACTTTGAGCAAGTATTCTAACCTCTGCCTCTTGGTTTCCTTAACCATAAAATGCTGATAATAGTACATACCTCACAATGTGGTTACGAGCATTTAGTGAGGTAATATCTGGACAGTTCTTAGAACAGAGCCTGCCAGGGGAACAGTAGCCATCTTCATTAGTGACTTTTGGGAAACTGATTTTCCCTTCACCATACCACTTTATTGTTTATCTATGAATCACTGAAGGTTAATTTTTTGTTTTATTTTGATTTTGTGACAGGTAGTAAAGAATGGATCCCCTTAGCAGGCAGTAAAAGGTTTCAAAGCAGTTGTACCCTTAATGGTCCTATCTCACAGACAGGCCCACTCCCTGATGGCTTGACCCTTTTAGATGGCTAACTTTCAACTTGTAAAGTCTTCCCTTTTATGCATCTTTCCTTCTATGAGCTTTAGATAGGGAATGTAGCCTTTAAACTTTTCACTGTGGGTTTCCTACTTTAATACATTGGAATTCATTTCAAAATTCGTATTTTAGTAAGACAGTGTTTTTTTTCCTACGTGGCTCTTTGTCAAACAGATGTTCTCCTGGATTGTAGAAGTCACAGTTAGAGAATTTGTATTTGTAATATACGTAACCCCTATCTTGTCAGTTGCCATCTGTGTGGATGTAGATTTGGTTTTCTGACAAGGAGACATGAAAATATTTTCTGTTCCTTTTTCTTGCTTGAAGTGTACAATCGCTTATATTCTAGCATAGTGATTTTTAACCCTCTTTGTGCATCAGAATACTTTGGGGAGCTTTTAAAGACTCCGAATGCCTGGCCACCACCCCAGAGACTCCACTTCAATAGGTGTGGGTCAAAGCACAGGCTTTGGTATCTTTTAAGGCCCTAGTTCATTCTAGCGTGTAAACCATTGTTGAGCACAACTACAGGTTAACTCAGGTGAATTTTACTAAAAACTTTTGGGCTGATTCTGAGAAAGTTATTCAGTTAGTGGTCTTTCCTCATTTTTTTAAAAGGTACCAGTGATACCAGAAAGTTATGAAACTAGAATTATTCACTTGGAGGCCTAAAAAGACATTAGAAAACATCTCAAATACCTGGTTTTTATAGATTAGGAAACCGAGACCCAGGGGAAGATAGATCCAAAGCTATCATAGGGGACTTAGGCCAGTTTCTTTCCAATATTCTGTTTGTTGCTTATTCACTGAATTCCTAGAACTCCTCTTCTTAAAACCTTGGGAGAATGTATTGGCCCCACACACTCTTCCTTTGCCATGGAAGCATGAAGCTACAGCTTATTTATGATTTTCAAATGCAGCTGAATATTGAGGCAGCCTGTAGAGTATGTTCTTTATTTTAGTGCATACTTTTCTCTCTGTTTTCCTAATTTATTTATTATCTTGCATTTAGAATTGGTGGTTTTAGCTTCTAGATAAGAATTATCTAATAGAACTTTCTGTGGTGTTGCAAATGTTTTATATCTGTGCTGTCCACTATGGTGATAGGTAACTATTGAGCACTTAAAATGTGTCTAGTGAAACTTAGGAACTGAATTTAAAATCTTTTTATGGTAAAATTATATTAACATAAAATTTGCCATTTTAACTTTTTTGTGTGGTAAAATATACATAAGATTTACCGTTCTAATCATTTTTAAGTATACAATCCAATGGCACTAATTACATTCACAAAGTTTAACAAGCATCACCACTATGTATTTCCAAAATGTTTTTATTAGAACCAGTAACTCTGTACCCATTAAACAATAACTCCCCATTCTTTCCTTCCACAGCCTCTGGTTACTTCCTTCATACTTTGTTTCTATGAATTTGCTTTTTTTAGATACTTGATATATGTGGATATTTAATCCCCAAACATAATGTTTGACCTTTTGTGTCAGGATTATTTCACTTTGCATAATGTTTTCAAGGGTCATCCATATTGTAGCATGGGTCAGAGCTCCATTCGTTTTTGTGGCTGAATACTATTTCATTGTATGTTTATGCCGCACCCATTCATCTGTTCATAGACACTTGGGTTGTTTCCCCCTTTGGCTATAATGGGCATTAACATACAAATGTCTGTTAGAGTCCCTACTTTCAGTTCTTTCCGATATATATCTAGAAGTGGAATTGTTGGGTCATATGGTAATTCTATGTTTAGCTTTGTGAGGACCTGCTAAACTGTTTTCCACAGCACCTGTGCCATTTTACATACCCAGCAGTGATGTATGAGCAATTTCTCCATATCTTCACCAACACTTGTTCTTTTCTTTCTTTCTTTCCTCATAGCCATTCTCATAGATGTAAGTGGTGTCTCTTCCTGGTTTTGATTTGCATTTCCCTAATGACCAATAATGTTGAGCATCTTTTCCTGTGTTTACTGGCCATTAGTAGATCTTTTTGGAGAAATATCTGTTCGGGTCCCTTACCCATCTTTTTAGTAGAGTTGTCTTTTTTCTGTTGAGTTTTAGGAGTTCTTTATATATTATGGCTACTAAACTTTCATTAGATATATGATTTGTAGATATTTTCTCCCATTCTTTGAGCTGTCTTCACTTTATTGACAATGTCCTATAATACACAAAAGTTTTAATTTTGTTCAAAAGTTTTAAGTTTGAGGAAGTTCCAATTTATCTATTTTTTTCATTTTTTGCTCATACTTTTGGTGTTATATCTAAAAATGTATTACCAAATGCAAGGTCATGAAGCTTCACTGTATTTTCTACTAAGAGTTTTATATCTCTTACTTTTGTATCTCTTATTTTATATCTTTGATCCATTTTGAATTAATTTTTATATATGATATAAGGTTATGGGTCCAACTTTATTCTTTTGCATGTGTGGAAATCCAGTTGTCTCAGTACCATTTGTTGAAGAGATTGTGCTTTCCCCATTGAATGGGTTTGGCAGTCCTGTCAAAGGCCAATCCATTCCATTGGTGTATATCTACCCTTAAAGCAATACCACACTGTTTGGATTACTGTAGTTTTTTAGTAAGTTTTGATATCAGTAAGTGTGAGTCCTTCAACTTTGTTCTCATTTTCAGGATTTTTTTTTTTTTCTCTTTGGGCTTTCCTACTCCATATGAATTTGAGGGTGGGATTCTCCATATCTGCAAAAAAAGGCTGTTCGAATTTTGATAGAGATTGTGATAAGCTTTTAGAGCACTTCGGGTAACTGACATTTTAACAATATTAAGTTTTTCTATCCATGAACATGAAATGTCTTTCCATTGATTTTAGGTCTTTAATTTCTTTCAGCAATGTTCTGAGAGAACATTGTTTTCAGTGGACAAGTCTTTTACCTCCTTGATTATATTTATTCCTAGATATTTTATTCTTTTAGGTGAGGTGCTATTGATGGAATTGTTTTCTTAATTTCCTTTTTGGTTCATTGTTGGTATGTAGAAACACAATCGATTTTTGATGATCTTGTGCTCTGCAAGTTTGCTCAGTTTGCTTATTTGCTCTAGTAGGTTTCTTGTGGATTCTTTGGTGA